TGTGCGTCACACGGCGCAGCGGCGACACCTGGCGGCGGACCGGGGAAGGTGCAGCTGGAGACCGAACCAGGACCGAACCAGGACCAAACCAGGACCGAACCAGGACCAAACCAGGACTAAACCAGGACTGAACCAGGACCGAACCAGGACAGAACCAGGACCGAACCAGGACCGAACCAGGACTAAACTAGGACTAATAATTTTAGACTTTTAATAAAAGGTGGATGTCAAAATGAGCATTTTATAATTTACATTTATTACTAATGAAAATTAAGTAAAACAAAACAAATGTCTCCTTCTCTTTTTATTCAAACAAATGCAAAAAAACCCCAAAAAGATCATATTTACTGAGCCACATGATGAGGCCGATTCTGAATAGGCCAGTGGATTTGGCGTCTGTCATTTTTAATATTAGAACAATAACAGGTTAAATATGTTAAAATAAAAACAGGTAACAGAAAACTCAGCGGCAGGTGAATAGGCCGCTCTGCAGGACAGGTGACAGGTGACAGGTGACAGGTGACAGGTGACAGGTGACAGGTGACAGGTGAATAGGCCGCTCTGTAGAACAGGAGCTTCCGTAAAGTCTCGTTGGTCGTGATTGTCTCCAGATCCTCGTCGTTTATGTTTAGGGCGACTCTGGATCAGCGTTTGTGTTGAACTTGTTACAGTTTTTTTGTCTTTATTCGTTTGTCACTTTGTGTGCGTCGATTTGTAAAAACAAACAATGTGAACTTTAAGAGATTTTAACAATCACAAGGTTTTACAGTTTTAAACTTTAAATGAGGCACAGAGTTTGTTTGTGGTGTTATGTGCTACTTTATGTTTAATAGGCCTGGAGCCAGGTTCACCCCTCAGGAGGTTTTTTTGCTCCTTTTTTCACTATTTTTTCCTGTTCTCTTTTATCTTGGGCCATCAGGAGTTGATGGGACCAACCTCAACTCAGTCTCAGGGTCCAAAAAACACACTTTTTGAGAAAATCTATTTGCAAAATCATGCAACAGTAAATATGAAGGAGCTGTAACTGCAAACATGGTCAAATAACTCTAAAATTGTACATGGTGTTTCCTGACACATGGGGGGAAACTAGAAGAAAAATATTCTGGGGCTTGCTACTTTTCTACTGTCAAATATCACCCTCAACATCCACCAAAAGACAAAAAAATGTCTGTCCGCCTGACAAATTGTCATCAATAGTGATCATTTTCAAACATTTTATTGCATTTATCACTGCCTCAAATGTACATGAAAAATTCTCAAGTTTATAAACTTTAATTTAAACCCAAGACGACCTTTGTATCTGGAGGGAAACAGCTGCAATGACCAAAGTTCTTCACTGTTCCTCAAATGGGCAGAGAGCAGAACTTTCAGGTATTTCCATGACTTATGGGATTAAGCAGGATGTTTTCATAGAAACAATATTTGAAGAGTTGACTTTTGTCTTACTGTTGTACTTTATAATAACAGTGAAAAAAAGGAGCAAAAAACAAACTGAGGAGTGAACCTGCCTCTCGAACTATGAACAAGTTCCAGTTTAGGTAAAAGAAAATATGGTGACGGCCACAAGATGACGCCCCAGACACGTGTGTGTGTGTGTGTCTCCCTGAACAAGCGCCTCAACTACTACTGCTCTTTGCTCCTCCCTCTTGTGAGTGAGATTTCCGGTTCTCTTCTTGTCTCTTTTTTGTAGATTTCTCAGTTTCCTCTCCACGCGGGACCGTCCACTCTCTCGGAATTTGGACTCTTTGTTTTTATTTCATCTTTAAATCCTCCCTGAGAGTGTAAGTTGTGATTCTGTGTCATAGTTTTGTGAAGAAATGTGTGTGTTTTATTTTCCTGAGCAGAATAGCCACTCCAGCTCACAGTCACGTTCAGGGTTTGGATTCAGGGTCAGGGTTTGGATTCAGGGTCAGGGTTTGGATTCAGGGTCAGGGTTTGGGTTCAGGGTCAGGGTTGGGTTCAGGTCAGGGTTTGGGTTCAGGGTCAGGGTTTGGTTCAGGGTCAGGGTTTGGATTCGGGTCAGGGTTCAGGGTTTGGGTTCAGGGTCAGGGTTTGGGTTCAGGGTCAGGGTTTGGGTTCAGGTTCAGGGTTTGGGTTCAGGGTCAGGGTTTGGGTTCAGGGTCAGGGTTTGGGTTCAGGGTCAGGGTTTGGGTTCAGGGTCAGGGTTTGGGTTCAGGGTCAGGGTTTGGGTTCAGGGTCAGGGTTTGGGTTCAGGGTCAGGGTTTGGGTTCAGGTTCAGGGTTTGGGTTCAGGGTCAGGGTCAGGGTTTGGATTCAGGGTCAGGGTTTGGGTTCAGGGTCAGGGTTTGGGTTCAGGGTCAGGGTTTGGGTTCAGGGTCAGGGTTTGGGTTCAGGGTCAGGGTTTGGGTTCAGGGTCAGGGTTTGGGTTCAGGGTCAGGGGGTTTGGGGGTTTGGCTCCAGGACAGGGAGGGAAAAGCTCTGTTTTGGAGCATTTTGCACTAAAGCTTCTGTTCAGATGAAAACTCAGATGAAGTTTTGACAAAAGCTGCTCATGCTGTTTGTGTATCTGTCTGTGTATGCATGTATATGTGTATATGTGTATGTGTATGTGTGTATCTATAGAGCAAAAGATGTTCATTTTGTCTTCTTATATACTTTAACTTCTTAGGTTCTTTTTAAAGACAATGCAGTAAAAGTAAAGTGTGTTTACTTTGTTGACATGTTTTGGCTGCTGCATCTTCAGAACTGTCCCCGGTGTTGGTGGTGACGTGTCGTGTATCAGCTGTTGTTACTTCCTGTGGGCGTGGTCAGTCTGATGGACCTGCAGGTCGCTCAGACTGACCACGCCTCCCGTCGCCCGGTGTCTCTGGAGGAGGGTGTCCCAGGTGGGTGAAAGGAGGAACGCGCCGTCATCACGGTTAATGCTGTCAGTGTCTCGTTTTCTGATTTCAATCAATTCTGATTTCACGTCACCACCAACACCGGTGACAGTTCTGAAGATGCAGCAGCAGCAGCCGAAACATGTCAACAAGGTAAACACACTTTACTGCATTGTCTTTAAAAAGAACCCAAGAAGTTAATGTATCTATAGAGTTGGGCATAGATATAAACACAGACACATGTGGGGCGTGCACGCGGGGATCAGACTTTATCTCACAATAAATTTGATTAAACTCACACAAATAAATAACAACAGCTTTATTTAGTAAAATGAAGGTTTAAAGTGTCAGAAAAAGTCAGTCTTTGTGCGTAAATCGTTTCTTTTCTTCACAAACTGAACTGAACTGATGTAAAACTGTAAGAAATATCAACCGCAAGTTCTGTCCACAAAACCAAGAACTAGAAAACCACCTGGACTTTAACGTGGACGGACGACACGACAAACGACACGGCACGAACAAAGACTTTACGAGACGCCTGACGAAGAGGAGGGCGACTCTCTCTTCATCACTGAGACAAACGGGATGAGGGTCGGACGATGAAGATCAACAGAGTCTGTAAAACCCACACACCACAGGATTTAGGCCCAGATTCGATTCTCTCAGAGTTTCCAGACGAGGCGAGATCCGACGTTGTGTGCGATTTAGTTCTAGATTTTAATGATGAAATGTTGATATATTTTAAAATATTTTGAATAGTTTATTTATTTTGTAGTCACAAATATAAAACATGTTGTAATAACGGCGCGTCTGAATAGAGACATGTCATAATACCCACAGGTCTAAACAAGGTCTAAACCAGGTCTGAACCAAGTCTAAACCAGGTCTAAACAAGGTCTAAACCAGGTCTAAACAAGGTCTGAACCAAGTCTAAACCAGGTCTAAACAAGGTCTAAACCAAGTCTAAACCAGGTCTAAACTAGGTCTAAACCAGGTCTAAACCAAGGTCTAAACCAGGACCAGGACTAAACTAGGTCTAAACCAGGTCTAAACTAGGTCTAAACCAGGTAAGGAATAGTTCCCCCCTTTCTCCTGGGTTCTGATTCTCTGATGTCTGTACTTGGTTGGTGTTTCTGAAAAACTACAGAGGATCTTCAGACATGAGATCCTGGTCTATTTCAAACCTACGAACACTTTAAGACAGAAACTGGTCCAACCAAAGGACAAAACACCGAGACACAAACAAAACAATGTGCTCTACTCCAGTCAGTGCAGTGAAGACTGAAGTGACACTGGAGAAACTAAACAGACACTCCACAAGAACCAACACAGACGAGAGAACAACACAGGACCTCAGTCTGCTGTTCATCTGCACTTCAAAACCACGGGTCATTCGTTTGAGGACAGAGACGTCCAGATCTGATCCAGAAAAAAGAAATGGTTTGAGAGGAGAGTGAAAGAAGCTGTTTTTGTTAAGAAAGAGAATCCTTCTCTAAACAGAAATGGACTCAGACTCCATCTGTCTCCTGTTTACACGTCCATCCTCAAACCTCAAACAAAACAAACAAGAGAACAACAGGTGTAGTCAGGTCAGGACCAGAGGTGTGGAAGCTCCATTATGGACATGAACTGTTCTGTTACAGGTCAACAGACCGAACTAACAAACACAAACTGTAAACAAGTGTGTGTTAGTTCCAGAGGAGTTTCAGTGTAGTTAGCTCCTCCTGCAGATATAAGGAAGAGTCACCAGAGTCTGACAGAAATGAAGAAGAAGTTTGGACAAACTGAGAAACGTCTTCAACCAAACGAACTTTTGTCCAGTTGACAAACAGAATTTTCTCCTCGACATGATTCTACCTGAACGACTGAGGGACCCTTCACATGTGTGTATGTGTTGTGTACCTGTAGTGTGTTGTGTATCTGTAGTGTGTTGTGTACCTGTAGTGTGTTGTGTACCTGTAGTGTGTTGTGTATCTGTAGTGTGTTGTGTATCTGTAGTGTGTTGTGTATCTGTAGTGTGTTGTGTACCTGTAGTGTGTTGTGTACCTGTAGTGTGTTGTGTATCTGTAGTGTGTTGTGTATCTGTAGTGTGTTGTGTATCTGTGTTTGTATCTGTAGTGTGTTGTGTACCTGTAGTTGTGTGTGTGTGTGTGTCTGTATC